ATTCAATATTATAATTTAATATTATTTAATTATTATTTTACATTTATGATAAAAATATTTTTTTTTTCAGACAGTTACCTAATGTAGCAATAGAATACATACAAGATTCTTTATCAAAATTTTTTATCTCTATCAAACCAGACGATTAGAAAATATATAAGAGGTATATGAAAATTGATTTTAACTATATGTTTATTTAAATATATGTTTATTATATGTGTATATGTAATATTTTATATTATAACAAATGTATTAAATATGAAATATTTAAAATATATAAAGTAAAATACAATGATATATAAATAATACAATATATGTATAATATACAATGTTATATATATATATATAACATATATAAAATATATATAATATAATGCTGTTGTTTATAAGCCTAAATTAAAAACCTCAAAAATATATTCTGCTAATTTTCTAAAAAATTCGATCGTAAAATATCATTAGAAATTATATCAAGGCAATCGTATCCTCTCAATCCTACTTTTGCACCAGCAATGCAGCATGCAAATTTAATAGCCTGTTGTAGAACTGTTTCATTAATAAATTTTGCTCGATTATACTCTGAACTTCTTATATCTAAATTTTCCTTAACATCTCGTTTATTTGCAGTATTATTATCAGAGACTTCCTTCATTTGATTATCATTCGTACAAGCTTCTTCTTTATATTTGTGCATAAATTTAACTTTGCTTTTGTTCAAATAATACAGAGCAGCAGCATTAAATGTATCACCTGCACCTAAAGTATCGATTACCTTTCGAGGTGGGAAAGCTGGCGATTGTACTATTGAGCCGCATGGAGTACGAGCGATTGCACCTTCCTCCGACCAAGCACAAATAATAGCTCCTCTAAAAGGAGATTAATCTCTTATATGTATAGTACAATATTATATGTTCACTTTTATATTTATACAAATATTAAAGTAATTGGTATATTTCCTTACTTAGAATCTTGGCCGATATTATGTATCACTTCGTCCATATTACTGAAACCTAGATACTCAGCGAATTCTTTTGCTATAAATGCTACGTCAACGTATGACAATAGATTCAATAATTCGGAACCTGATCTGGGACTTTCTAATTCTACACTAATTGTAATTGGCATGCGATTTTTGGTAACGAAATCACAATTTAATGAATTATTGTAATTATCTATACGCTGTATCATAAGTAACACTACATCTATATGCCTTCCCTAAAAATAGGAAACAATTCACATGTTTCATACAATATAATTTCCTATATATTATAAGACAAACCTCAAAATGAATCCAACTATATTCCTCTAAATTAAGTTGCTCGAAATTCTTTAACGTCAATTCGGGTAAACAATTATGATAAACAATTGTGCGAGATCCAGTGTCCGAACTCAATATAATACTTGAGACGGGGCATCCAACGTCATTTATCATAGGACAATGGGAATAGTCGATTTTATACTTGCGCAGATCGTTTTGCAGAAAATTGATATGTTCGTCTGCGCTCAAGCATGCCAAAAGCTCACACGGTTGTCCTATTAATGATAGTACAGTACAAGTATTGGATGCATTGCCCCCTCTTTGCCATCTGTAACTAGTAGATCTGAAAATTATGTTTATAACAAGAAATTAGAAATGTCTAAATTAAAAATCCGCAAAAACTTGCATATTATAAGTTATCTTTTCAAACAATTTATACGAATCAAAAGAATCGAAAACAATTAGAAAACTTTCGCAAAACTTTAATAAATTAGAATGTTATTGATTTATTTAAATTCTCTAAAATAAAACATAACGATTAAAAGTAATATTTCTTAGGCAATGTACCATCATCACTTTACAGAAAAACTGCAAGAGACAAATCATATCATTTATTTTTTCTTATAGAATTCTAAGAACTTTTTCAGAATTTTTTATTAAATTTTTACTGCATTTTCCTATTTTTATCAACATGAGAAAATACGGTATTAAAAAATTCTGAAAAAATTTTAAAAGAATTCTCAGAACTTTATGAGAAGAAAATAAATGATTTTTGTCTCTTGCAGCTTTTCTGTAAAGACAGAAATTTTTAAATAAAAAATTATTCAAGATCAATATTTGGTAATTTTTAGTAATTAATATCTTGTTAACTATTGCGAAAATTGCAAAATGATAGAGGACTTTTCGACTCAGTTTAGTCCGCTCTATCTACACAAAAGCGATTGGAAAAAACTTTCGGGACACTGTATAAATCGCACGTGGACTGAGCAACGGTATTTCATTGATATTCAATCTATAATAGATGAATTTAATTGCGATATCAACAGTTTTTGTTATCAGAAACATATACTAATCAATAGTTTTGAACTTTGACCATATTTTTGTATGTACACGCACTGAGAAAAAAATATCCTAAATTTTAATAAATATTTATTTGAATAATACCAAGTAATATTTATTAAATATAAAAATATCTTTATTTGATACAAAAAACAATAATTTGATTGAACTTCTTTTTATTAAGTAAATATTTATTTATTAAATATTTATTTAGTAAATAAATGTTTAATTGGCAGTATTCAAATAAATATTTAATAATAATGGAAATTTTGACAATTTCTTTATGAGAAATAAAATTCTTCAATAATAAAATTCCTAGGAAAACGGGTACATAAGAGTATAACGCAGTTGTTGGAGCGTGATAAAAAAATAATGTTAAAATAACAGACGTCTGTATGGAAATACATGCTATCAATATTTACACTGATTAACATTATTTTCTGATCACTCTCCAACAACTGCGTT